AGCAGTGAAACCAAAAAGCCATCCAGTCATGGCAGCCACTCCGTGCATATACTGACACAAAACGACCAATTCAGTTTTCCTGATAGGTAATCATTCAAAGACTTGAATAGTTCTGCAGCTGTGGTGTCGGTTGGCAACAAACGTGCACATGACATACCCTCATGCATGTCCTTCTGAAAAATATATCACACAAAAACAAGCATCGTTGCTTCGTCGTCATCAGTGGACTCACCAACCTGGATCACGAGCCACAGTGACTCTTAATCCTCTCTCACCATTGTGCCTCAGTACCCTCTGCCATTTCATCGGTTTGTCTAGTTATGGGTGCTAGCCAAAAGAGAGACCCACGCCACCTTTTAAACTGCAACCTCTCCTAAAAGTTCACGACAAATGTCCTTAGCAACAGGCAGGATCAACTCTTCACCAGTAGTGAAGGGCTTCTTAGCTTTAGCAGTGCGGTTAGCCGCTGAGAACGATGCTCTCGGTGTAGACACATTTGATGAAAAGGTGGCCTTCAGTAATTGCTTCTGTTCTTTGTGTTCATGATTTTTTCTTTTGAAAAACTCTAAAGTCTTGTCTTTTAATGCAGGGTGCTTGATATCCATGTGGCAAAGCAGTCTTGAAGGTTTCATGGCTTCATTGGATAGCTGGTCGCCACATATTATACAAAGTGGGCTTGATCTGTTGAAATGAACCCATAATTTAAGCAGGACTCTTGGCATTTTCTTTTAAATGCAGCCTTCTTTGTCAGTCTTAGTCTTCTGCTGTTTCATCATTGGGTCTTTCCTCTTCTTCAGAAAGGCTCTCCAGTGACGTTTGTTTTTTACTCATTTTGGCTGGGGTTAGCTTGTGGACTTACCAAAACACTGACTGAGACAAGTGTGCAGTGCGGGAAAGAGGCGCGGACGGGAGTGGTAAATGAAATAATGGGCCGGCCACGTGCGGACTAAAATGAGTGTCAGATTCTGACTTAAAGCCTGCCACCAGATGCAGCTGTACAATTGAAGTAAATCAACTCACTTGCCTGCCACTAGATGAAGCTTAATTGTCACTTGCCACTCACCGATAGGGTTTTAATGAGTCTGCAAGCAATTGATTTATTATGGTCTCTGTGCAGTCCAACTTCTCTGCTAATAGTCATCTGTATTTGCAGTGGCTCCCCGGTGCTAGCATCACCGCCTCAGCTCCACCTCAGATCAGGCATTAGATTCTCATAAGGAGCACTCGGCCTACCATCCCTCACATGTGCAGTTCACAGTAGGGTTCTTGCTCCTGTGAGAATCTAATGCCTGATGATCTGAGGTGGAGCTGAGGCGGTGATGCTAGTGTTGGCGAGCTGCTACAAATACAGACGAAGTTTTCGCTCGCTAGCCTCCGCTCACCTCCCGCTGTGCGGACCTGTATCGTGAAGTTGGGGACCCCTGCTGTATAGTATGTAACATCTCCAGGTAGGGTTGGTGTGAAAATTACTTTTAACATGCTAAAATAGGAATATTCTTAACTAAGTGGGGAAATATAAGGAAATAGCCCGATGTCAGGTCAAACATTCAGATCTTTGATTTTGAGAATTATGAATAAGATATTGTGGGCTAGTTTTAAAATGTAACTAAGTGTTAAAAAGAATTAATTATGAATCATCTTCAGAATAAAGGAATTATTGCTGTGGGCTGGTATCAGAGAAGATGGGATTTTGTCTGGTTTTGAAGGTATTTATGGGACTTTATTTTGCTCACTGTTGAATCTTGGGCAGCTCGACTAGCACCTGCCACAGACCTGATGAATACTTTGTGATGAGAAAGGAAAGAACGTTCCGTCAGAGGAGACTTCCGCCTGAACGTAGCCATGGAGGAGGGAATATATTTGGTTATTTGTGGGTGAGAGTCGAGGGTCTACTCTGGTTAAGGCAAATGTTCTGCAGAAAGTGTGAGTAGATGAGGTGGGACCCGTTATGGGTGTTTATGCCTTACATACTTGTTCAGATGAGGAATTTGGACTTGATCTGATGGCATACTCTTGAATAGGGGTAGAAGAGATCTTAGATAATCAAAATGGTTTGAAAAATAAAAAGACAAAAAACATGATCCGAATGGATTACGGATATCTGTGTTTCCTGCAAGGATGCTTTAATAAATTTGTGTGCATCAAATTTAAGGCTGTGTTGAAAATTTAAGACTGAAGTTTGAAGAAAATGTAGACATTGACCTATTGAATTTGGAAAGTTACAAGGAGGAAGTCAAAGAAAATTTCAGAATTCTAATACTTAGTGATTGGAAATAGTGATCCCTTTTGCTGAAAGGGGGACATAAGGAAGAGGAGCTGGAGAGGATAGGATAAATAACACTGCTATAACTTGGCATATTGACTGGTTTTCATTCTTTAAATGTATTTACTTGATAGCTTTTATTCGACTGTATGTTTATAGATGTAAAGTATGTTCCAAGTTTCTTAGTCCAAAGCAACTAAGAACAATGTAACTAGAAACAAAACCCTACATGACTTGAGTGCATGTGATTCACATGCTGTTTCCAAGCTGCTTTAATACAAGGTTTATTGAAATTTCATTTTAAAAAAGTAAAAGCTGTGCTGAGTAGCATCAGTTCCCCCTTGCACCTTTTATTATGCATTAGCAATTAACTCTTCTTCTTGAATTTGAACTTGATCAATCATCTGATACAGAGTGATTAGTATTGCTGAAATACTATTCTTATTTTTCCATGTATTTCAGGCACTTCTCATAGTGGCATGTTTGTTTGACTATAGAATATCACTTGCTCTCTTGGCTTCTGGCACTGAGGTCAAACTATTTTAGGTCCCTTAAATAGAGTAGTATTGAAAAGAAAATCCTTTGGTATTTTAAACGATCTGGACATGGCTTTCTGGCCTCTAGGAGAAGGAAGGAATGAGGCTGTCTTTTTTCCTCTAGCAGGCTCAAACTCTGCTTTTCGTGTTTCTTGACAGTTTTCTTGTTTTTTTTTTTTAAATCCTGACAGGACTGACCTGTATTTTTCTCTAATCTTCTACTCAGGGAACATTCCCTATCAGGAAGGCACCTCTCTGTTGCTTTGATTCTTTAGTGTTCTGAATAGACTTGTATAGACTGAAGGGCTCGCCTTTACTCTTCTTGTTCTTAGCTCTATTGAGTAATTGAGAGAGAAGGTTTTTCAGTTTGCTAGGGCTGCCATAATAAAGGACCACAGACTGGGTGGCTTAAACAACAGGATTTTATTTTCTCACAGTTCTTGAGGCTAGAAATCAAGGAGATGGCAGAGTTGGCAGAGTTGGTTCCTTCCGAGGCCTCTCCTTTTGGCTGGTAGATGGCTATCTTCTCTGTGGCCTCAGGCAGTCTTCCCTCTGTGCCTATATCCTTATCTCTTATTATAAGGACACCAGGCATATTGGTTTAGGGCTGACCCTAATGGCCTTATTTTAACTTAATCACCTCTTTCAAAGACCTTTTTCCAAATATGGCTACATTCTGAGGCACCTTGGGCTAGGGCGTCAACATAGAGTTTTGGGTGGGACACAATTCATAACAGAGAAATAAGACATTTGAGAAACTTTAAAAAATGATTAAGGAGAAACAAATAAAAGGCAAAAAAGAGAACAAGGAAAAGGAACACTCATTTCTGCAGGGAATCATGAAAGCGTTTGCCTGTGCCTGTGTTGGTGTCTCATTTCCCACCATAACACAGGGAGTAGGGAGCCGGCTATGATCTCAGGGGCAGCGTCGAGACTCAGTTTCCTGTCTTGCCCAAGGTCTCGAGCTCAGGAGTGACTGTGCTGTGATTTGAATCCAGTTCATCTAGTTCTTTAGACCTTGTCTGGTACTTTTTCGTCACCTCATGCAGGGAGGTGAAAAGGAAGTATGCTCCCTTGGCCAAATTCATGGTGGGTTTTTTGGTGGTGTTTTGTTTTGTTTAGGAAACTTTGGGATTAAAAGCATCATCTTGTCAGCCAGTCATGTTCTTGTGAGCTTTAACATTCGTAGTGCAGAAAATAAACACAGGCAGAAAGCTGCAACTCTTGAGGAAAAAAAAAAGATAAGTCACATATTCTGAAAGTCATTTTTTTACTATAAACCTTTTCAAGCATAAAAAAAGTAGAGTATACAATGAACCACCAGCATTCTCACTGCTCAGACTCAACATTTACCAAGATTTTGGTGCTATTCATCTATCCCTTCCTCCCTCTTGCATCTAAGATAGGTTATTTTTACTTCTTTTAGTGCATAACTTAAAAATATATAGACATTTTCTGAGATAACCTTAATGCCACTCAGTTTCCTGATTGCCTCCAAAAGTCCTTTTACATTGATTTGTTCAAGTCAGTTTTAAAACAAAGCTATGTATTCAACATACTAAATTACATTTGACAGGAAATTTTCTTGCCTTTATATCTTGTTTGTTGTGCTCAGGGATACTTTGTTTCACGTCTCTGCAGAGAGGGAATGCAGTGATTTGGTTCATTTTGGTATACCATTTGTGTTGATACCTATATGAAATATCAAATCTTCTAACTGGACAGTGCATATTACAACTCTTAAAAACAAAAACAGTTCTGCCTCAGTTTTGAATGCGTTTCCATGGTCTTTAAGAATCATTCAATTTCTTTCTGTGTAGTAATCAGCACCATATTATTTTTAAAAAGCTAATTTTTTTTTTTCAGGAAAAATTTCAAGAATAAGTAAACATAATAAACATGAAAATTATGATGCATCTTTATGCATTGCATTGGTATACATGAGTACTGCTTAACTTATTTCATTAGCATTGACTCATTACATTTTGTCCACATGGAACATTGTTTTATGAGATTATTTTTCAACCATAACTCATGAATACCAAGCTGCTAAAACAAGTTGGTAAACACTTGCTTTTGT